TTTTTTTTTAAACTGAGCTATCAGAATCTGGTGCTTTTAAACCTGCCTGAAGGAATATAATTACTTAGATTTGTTTGACAGCCTGGGACTTGATGTTTCCCGTTATTTTCCAGAATTCCTTCTGCAGATGCTCAGAGGTGCAGTATATATGTCCTTCACGTAGGGAAATGTTCTGGCTCTGTCTCCTGCAAGCCTTTGTGTGCAGGGCTGTGAGAAAGCACTTTTGAGAAGAACAGAGGGCAAGCAGTTATTTTTCCTAATTGTGCTTCATTCATTACYTTTAGAATCAGAATTTATGTTGAGTGCTGATTTTGTCTCGTGGGACTGCAGTRAAGACATAATAGGATGGAACGGGCTAAACAAATGTGTCAGATCCTAATATTCTGGTGTTAGGACATTGCAAGGATTAGTGCAGGAATTTTTGGCTGTCATTATTTTGTGTGACTTCTCCAAATTAAATAGACCAGGTTGAGAGATGCCAGGTTCTCTCAGACCTGAGGTGCCCAGCTCAGGTGGAGCTCACAGAGCTCTGCTGCGTCAGGCTGGGGCTCAAGGACAAGAATTTGCTGCTGGTGCCAAGGTTTCCTCAGAGATGATGCAATCTAGCAAATGCAGATCCATCTGAGGTCCGAGAGCAGAGACTTTGCTGTGTTTCATAAGGCTTTGGAAAGAGACAAGAAAGAGCAGGAAGGGCGTTTGTCCTTGGTCTTGCTGTGGAGGTTGGGAAGGCTGCAAGGTGTAGTACCCTGAGATCACACTGGAGACCTCAAGGAATTTGAAGTTTTCTGGACCTGTTTTTTGAATGAGAGAGGTATGTGCCAGCCTAGGTTTTTTTTCTAGTTTAGTTTGGTAGAATCTTACCTTTTCATTTCAAGTTCCTTTACTATGGCATTTCTATTTAAACTGGGTTATCTGAGTTCAGTGAGGAAGGATTGTGTCTTGAGGATCTCATGTGTATTGTGTGTAGATTTTTCACCAAAGATTACAGCTTCTGGAGAATGTTTTAATTTTCCAACTGCATTTTTTTACAGCATACTTCCCAAACTGCAGAAGTATAAAAGGTGTACATGTGCCTTGTTGCATCGTGTCTTTATTTTTAATCACTTGTCCCCTACCATTTGTGCAGGTCTCGTGTACCCCATACAAGAAAGTAGTAGGAGTTGCTCCTACCCCAGGAAAAGTTTATTTTCTAAATGCTCCAGCTGGAGACAGTTTCCCAGTTGGCAATGGGGCAAGTGCTGTGTGTACAGTGATGGTGCTGTGTGGCACTTTGCCTTTTTTATTCTGTACTCTTTCTCCCAGGGTGTGTCCCTATGGGGCTCAGCTGGACCCTGACTGGGACCACTGGAACCAACTGGAATCAGCTCCTTCCCACAGAAAACAGCCAGCCAAATCTTTCACATCTCCCCACAATTCACACAGGGCTGCAATTGCACCTATTTAATTGAGATTTCTGTGTCCTGGTTTTTCCAGGCCCCTGCACATCCTGATCTGCAACGCGGCCGTGTTTGGTGCTCCCTGGTCCCTGACAGAGGATGGGCTGGAATCCACSTTCCAGGTGAACCACCTGGGGCATTTCTACCTCGTGCAGCTCCTGGAGGATGTTTTACGCCAGTCATCTCCTGCCAGGGTGGTGGTGGTGTCCTCCGAGTCCCACAGGTTGGTGAATGTTACCTTTGATTTTGCTGGAATCTTTAATCCTTAGAGCATGAAACAGTTYGGGCAGAACCACAGAAGTTTCTGAAAATGAAGGTCCTTGCTCTCAAGCATTTGCCTTTGAATAATCTTTTTAAAAATAGAAGCATTACTAATGCTTGTGGATGTTTCTGGATTTGGCTCTGTCGCTGGATAAAGCATGTTCTAGTTTTATAGCAGTATGTAGATATTTTTTTTGATCATTCTTTGTGTGAATGCAGATTTTTGCCGCATTTCAGACCACTCATTGATTTTGTKAGGAGATGGAATAATAATTGATTAAATCTGAATGGCATGACCTATATTGATTTGTCATTCAACAACTTCAACATCTTAGCAAGAAGAATGTGCAGTTATTTTAGCAGGAGAAACAATGCAATTAAAAACTGCTAGATGAAATCCAGTTGTTTTATAATGAGAAATTAGGGAATTCAATACAGACATTAGCTGTATAATTGTAAAATGGGAAGTAGTGTAGTTAATACATATTACAAATCTGGCCATGCCTCTTTTGGTGAATTTTTTAATTAAAATGTTAGATGCTCATCTCTTCTACTGCCAGCAAAAGTACAGTTGGCAAAAAAAGAGATGTTGATGAGGTTTGCCTTATTTCACATGTGCTTTTGTTTTTTGTATTAATAACTGAAAAGATGGGTTTGATTTAAATCAAGTTCCTTGTGCAAAATGAATGCCCCAGTTCTGACTTTTAGTGGGCACAAACCATTCACTCCTTTCTGATTTACTTCAGGGATTAAACCTATAACATCCAGCTTTAAACATTACTGTTGATTTTGATTTCACTTCTGGTCGTGTGTAGCAGCTCTATCAAACCAAAAGGAGGAATGTGTGAGTGCTTTTTTTTTT